GGAATGTGGTTTTTAATTGGAGTTTCCAGCAGTGTTCCCTCTAAGCTGAGTTAGTGTGAGCCAGCTCACAGTTTTTTAGCCTTTGGCTCACACATTTGTGTCTTAGCTCAGGAAGGGATGGCTCCAGAGCAAACTAACTTATGCAGTAGCCAAATCGCTGGCTCACAACTTTAATGCCAATAGCTCACAAAGCAGAATTTTTGCTCACAAGACTCCACAGCTTAGAGGGAACATTGGTTTCCAGTGTCTACATTTAATAGTTAAGTGGTAAGGAGAAAGTCTGTATGCCTGATATGGTTTATAGTATAGGAGAACCAGTTTCTTAAACCTATTCCCATGGTTTGGCTGTTTAAAGGCATCAGGGAAACACCGCACAAGGACTGAAACCCCTAAGGTGTTGTTAGCCTCCCTGATCATCAATGTAAGCTTTAAAACAGAGAAAATGTGGGGTCCTTTACTAAGAGCTCTGCCTTTCATGACACACTTTGTTCACTGGCATATGAATCGTGGAGAAAGTTGGCTGGTGCACCTCATTAGGAGTTTCTCTAGGGATTTTAGCACAATGTCCTTATTGTACTGTTTGCAGCACCCCCTTCCTCTTACTTGACTTGTTCCTGCTGCACTTCTGGAGCCTCAACGTGAACAGAGGCAAAGCACCATTTTGTTAAAGGTACAGAAACTATTTTTGACATTATTTGGCTACCCTACCCGGCATAAAAGAAATTTGGGTTTCAGTGCTCGGCCAGTTCTGGTTTCCTGCAGGTTCTATGGATGTGAAGGGATGACCTGCATGAGGGATATAATAGAACAAAACAACTAGCTGCCCACCCTTTCCGGGGAGCAATGTTTCCTCTAAGCTCTGTGGAGTCTTGTGAGCAAAAATTCTATTTTGTGAGCTCCTGGCATTACAGTTGTGAGCGAGCGACTTGGCTACTGCATCAATTAGTTTGCTCTGGCGCCCTCCTTCCTGAGCTAAGACAAAAATGTGTGAGCCATAGGGTAAAAAATTGTGAGCTAGCTCACACTAGCTCAGCTTAGAGGGAACACTGGCGGCGAGTGTCTTCCTGTGCTTTTCCCGTCCATTACCTCTGTTTAGATTGTAAGCTCTGCAGAGAAGAGAATCTCAGTTTTGTCTGAAATGTTAAACTGTAGACACCTTGGGCTACAAATAATATGACTTACTACAAAGCAGTGTCTTGTTTTTCTTTATGGTCAAACTGAAGAGCTACATTTACTTTAGTGGTTTTAAAGGGATAATCTGGCAATACAGGACTGAATCATGAATACTAAAAATAGCTTTGAAGAGACTAGCAGTTGGCAGCCTGGAACCAGCTCACTCAGTTGAGAGGCTTACAAGAACATCTGTATACTCATTAATGGTAGCTGGACTGTTGATACAGATACTTGATGTGTTGGGGGTGGGGGGAACTGAAAGAGACTAAAGCCTTCTTCCTCTTCAGGAAGCTTGACTCTGATGCAAAGCTTGGTGTTTATAGTATGTTAGAGCCTGCTGTCTCTCCCACCCCCTGCTGCTGGTTTGGAAAAAGTCTCACAGCTTTCACTGGGTCGCTTCCAAGAAAGCACATTCAGGATTGCTCTGTATGCATGTATTTTACTGCGAGAGTGTGCAGACAACCCTCTCATACTACAGAATAATTGTAGGAAGAATATGATGAAGCCATAAATACAGCTTTTAGAAGAATTTATTAGTAATGCATAAACAAACTCCATGTCAAGTCAGTATTACATAATGTGAAAAGCAGAAAAATTCTATTGCCTTTTTTCATTTATAAAGGGCTATCCTGATGCATCAGAAGCCATACAAAACCATGCAAAGTGACATCACATAGGAGGAAAGGGTTTAAAAATGGTGCTTCATCTTTTAAAAATATTGGTAAGCTGCTTTTGAATGGTGGGAACACACTTCACATACTAAGGAAAACCTTGCCAGATCTAGGTCTCACCAAGACATTCCCTTTGTTTTATATAGTTAAGACAATTATACTGCCAGTATGAAAGACTATGCAGGGATCTGATGATACTAGCTGGCTCACAGCTACATGGAAATGAGATGCACAAGTTCTCTTCTACTTTTCAGTAATGTAAGGATTTCTTAATTTATTAGCTTGTGGCTAAAGAAGTAATTTGTTAAAAATTGCTTTTGGTAAAAATGCATTTAAACCTGGAAACTATTTAAAATTTAATTTAGAAAGTGTATCATGGAGCACTTTGTTTAGTATTTACCTAAATCTATGAATGTGAGCTGATTTTTAAAAGATGAAGAAGCAAAAGAGCTGTATTGTTAGATTCCTTCACTGTCTCCATGGCATGCAAGTTGTTACTCAGTTTGGTTTCACCACTGACTGACCACATTTTGTATCCTGCCCCTCCTCTGTGGAGCTCAGACTGGCATTTGGGATCCTCATTTTATTCTGACTGCCTTAAGATGTTAAGCAGTATATGCCCAAGTGAGCCTCATTGTTCAATGAGAATTTAAACCTAGATCTTCTTATCCAAGGTAAATACAATAGCTGCATCACATTTGTAAGTAAACACTTGCTCCCCGGAAAGGGTGGGCAGCTAGTGGTGCCTGAAAGGCCATAGTGCACAAGACTTGCTGAGTTTTTAACCCATTTTCTTGCTGAAAATTCACAGAAACTTAGACCCAACAGTAGTGATCCATGGTTGCCTTTGGCAACCAGCTTATACCTCAGAAGGCGGCAAGAAATCAGAGCTGGGCATGGAAACAGATGAGTAATTTCCATGTCTTCACTCTGGGTATTCTGCCATCAAGTAGAGAACTCGGGTAAACCTACCACTCCTAACTACTGTAGTGCCAAGTCAGTGATACCAGAGGGGAGGGTTAAAAAACAAGCCACTGCAAACATGTATTTGTTGGATGTGATAATTATGATTAAACTTAAGTTAGCTGTTGTACATTTTCTGGGTTGTATGGCCGTGGTCTTGGCATTGTAGCACCTGACGTTTTGTCAGTAGCTGTGACTGCCAGTCACAGCTACTGGTGAAACATCAGGTCCTACAATGCCAAGACCACAGCCATACAACCCGGAAAATCTACAACAGTTAATGAACTCTGGCCGTGAAAGCCTTCAATAACATATGATTAATCTTACTTGCACCACTTGTATGTGTGGATGCTCAAGGAATAAATCACAGTCCCAAAACCCCACTAAGTAATTTAGTAAAGAGATAATCACTTTATTTAAATAAAGGGTCTGTTTACTTTGTATTTGATAAAGACAACTTCTCACCCTGGAATTCACATGTTCCCTTAATCCCCCTTTCTGGTTTTTCTCCATTACCCGCCCCCACAGCTTTTGGTGTAGGTAGAGTTCTCCAGGAGGTGTACAGTCATATTCTGTAAAACAACATCAGTTGAAAATTTCCAATATAAAAACACTGAATTAGCAGCCAAGCACAGTAAGAGGAACAAGAGCATTATAATGGATGTACTTAGCCATAGCAACGGCCTTCCAAAAGAAAAGTTCTTCACCACCCGAGAGGCCAAGAGAGTACAGAGACGAAGGGAGAATTCTTGCTAGCGGAGGGAGGGATTGCTACAGTGAGAATGCTGTCATATCTTTAGAATATCATTGAGTAACTGACTCTGACTCAAACATTTCATCTTTGGAACAAGTTTCACATTGCATTCACTGCATCTGGAGTTAACGTTTTGCAAGAAAAAAACCCGATCTATAATACAGAAAAAAGAAGCTTCCAGAGAAGATTACTATCAGATACATTTCTCTTTGGCACTGTCAGCAGACTGTGGGGTCAACTTTTATCACTACCTACTTCAACTCTATTGTGTCTAATAGTTTTTGTTCAGTTCCACGTTTGCAGTATCATGAAACACTGTAAAGCTAATACAGAAAATTACTGCATTTCATTCAGTAATGACACTGGTGCCTTTACCAATTAATGGTGGTATGGAGGCCTCACTCCTGCACAAATTCTGTATTGTATGCATATATTTTCCATACTGATAGGATGAGCTGCAATGTATGAT